GTAGTAGTAGTAGTAGTAGTAGACGGTGATGACGATGATGACTGTCGGATTTGCTGATCCGTGATGAGAGCCTAACAAACTTTCCTCGGTCAAGGTCCAGGCTCGAGCCCTGATGCCCGAAATCGGAAGACTACACTAGAGTAGAGCAGAATTCTCAAGTTTCGCAAGAACCCTAAGCCTATCTAAGCCTAAAGTTCATGGTGCAGGTCTCGAGGACCTGACTGGCTACTTCCGAGCCTGGGCCTTGGGGCGGCACTTCCGGTTCCTCCTGCTCCCGGATGCTCTGCAAAACCGGGTCTTCAACGGCCAGGCCCGGTGCCGTTTTTTTGTGGTTAAGGGCTTAGCGGTTTCGGGTTTCAAATCCTGAACCTTCGATCCTCGACTCTGTTAGTTTAGGGGTGTAGGACTTCGGGTGCCGGCGGTATTCAAGGACGTGAGCAGGTCTGAAATAGAGTCAAGGACAGTATAACATGGTGATTGCGGTTTCGTTTGCATGCGACAGTGTCTGGATCGGCAGGGACTGGGATGACAGGAGCCTTACGTTCTAAACATGTGGTAGCTGACATCCTGTTTCTGATCGAACTATACCTGAACTTCTCTGGGCTAGTCTTCTCTCTGTTTGTCAGGAGATGGCGAGGATAGATGATTTCTGCTGCAACCAGAATAAGGACGCACCAACGACGCCACCTGCATGCACAGTATTGGCTCTAATGGGGAGAGCGCATGTCTTGAAGCCAGAAGCTAAGTGCAAGACTTTGTCGGTGACTTGGAGTCGTCAGAGTCCTGGCTGTACCGCAATCATGAATCGGCTTGCTCCTCCCGGAAAGCCTGAGGCCTGCAATCTCCACCACGCGCGTCTGCTGGGACTCAGGGCCGGTCAAGAGTACGGTTTTGGGGTTGTTGTGTCTAGGACTTGTCCGTGAATTTAATTTTGGCTTTCCTCGGTGTGAATATGCCGGAAAAAGTGAGTTGTGAAGATCAGAAAGAACGATGGCGATGAGTGTGGCAGTTTGTGCTAGGTCATGCTCAGCGCACATTATATTATGCTAATCGCCCCAGCCATAGTGTTTTGAAAGTACCGTTGCAGCCATGAGCATGACCATCATGATGGTCATGATATGGCTGATGATGATGCGGAGGATGAGGATGAGGAGGACGGCGACAATGACGATAACGACGATGATGATGATGACGATGAGGATGAGGATGAGGATGAGGATGAGGAGGATGAGGAGGATGAGGAGGATGAGGAGGATGAGGAGGATGAGGAGGATGAGGATGAGGATGAGGATGAGGATGATGATGAAGGATGATGATGATGATGATGATGACGACGGCTGCACTGATGATGAGGGTCATCATGTTGATAGCCATCAAGTCGGCATGCCACTCGACTGCCACTACAACTGCAGCAACCACCACCATCTCCGCTACTACGAGAAGGACGGCGACACGACGACGAAGACGACTGCTGCTACCACTGCAACGTAGTAGCAGTCATAGTCTGAAGCCTTTCAAGGACTTCAAAGAAAGTGCCTTCCTCGATCGGTCGCCGCGCTCCAGCAGCCCCAAGCGGAAGCGGGTAGGGCAACCTCCTCCGCCACTGCGATTCAACTCAGGGTCAAGAATGTGATTGCAGCTTGAGCTTTCTGGATTCCTCCAGGGGGGCCGGTGAGAACAAGGAAGATGCCTTTTTGGTGTCCAAGCTTTCCTGCTGCAGATTCGTGGCACGCGTGGTTGCTTGAGTCAGATGGGCTGGGGATCCTTGGGCCATAGGCCCCGCAGTAGTTCCTTTTTGGGATTGCCGAATAGGATCTTAAATATAAGCCACAAAACGGAACTACTATAGGGCCTATGGGTAAAGCCGAAGCATCGAGAATGGTGTCATCGCAACTTTGACTTTAGCGGCCTTGCAGTAGGGCAATACGCAGGAGCCTTCTGTAGTTTATGCAGGACCACTGCACCTCGGGCTAACAAGTTATACTCGTTACGATCAATGAAGCTGGACAGCCGGAGACTAATCTCGCTACTTCAGACCGTGGCAGAAAGCTAGAAGTCCAGCTGCAGATTCCGCGCCACTGAGGTCCAAGGACCTAGATGTCCCATGTCGCATGCTGAGCCTGCTGCGACTCTTCGTCCCGAAGAACAAGAGCCCTGTTTGGTGCTGCTTCTACTTGAGGCATGTGTGGGTGCAGGCCCGGCCGCTGAGGAACTACTATTAGACTATTACTATTTCTATTACCATTACTATTACTATTTATTCTTGCTACTATTCTTATTCTGATTACATCCTCTCTTGATCCCGAAAGCTCAAGGTTGCGAGAGAATCTGACCGGTTGGGTTTTATTTGCATTGAATTCCTCCTAAACCCTAAACCCTAAACCCTAAACCCTAAACCCTAAAAAAGTATCAGGATCCTTCCATCCTGGATCCGACTGCAGACTTCTGTGTAAAGCACTTCATCTTCGTGGTGGTCCGCCCGCTCTATACGCAGATGCCGGCGCTAGAGGACGGGCTTCAGGGAGGCTTTGGGCTGATCTGAGGCAGGGCTTCAGTCAGTGGTTGTAGGGCTCCTTAGGAATATGCACCACAGATCCCTAGATCTGTACTATTGCTATGACTACTACTATTAGACTATGACTATTACTATTTCTATTACCATTGCTATTACTATTTATTCTTGCTACTACTTATTCTGATTACTATTACCATTAAAAATTCCTAGACCCCTCCGCTTCGAAGACTTTGCCAGGGTTTCCGCACGTCTTTGGTGGGTAGAGGACTTTGCTGGAGCTCTTGGGACCGTCTCGCTCTCCGGATTCGCTTCGCTCATGGGGTCGTCAGGGAATTACATATAGGCTTTGGGGTTTAGTTTAGATTCATGGAGTGTCGAGACCCTCCATAGGATAGAGGCTGGGGGTTAAAGTTTCTAGGATCAGTGGTAAAAGCGTCGGCGTTGGGCAAGAAAGAGCTGAGGTGGGTGCTTTTGGGGGGGCATGGCGGTGGTAATATGGGGGATTACCTTTTCTATTTTGGGGGGGTTCCTTATTATACTTATAGTATAGCCCAAACCCCATTCTAAGTATTCAGGCCCCTAGATTATCAGGATCTGCTGACCATGGATGCCCTTGAGACGAACCTGGAGCTTGGAGCCCACCTTCGGAAGATGCTCCTGGAGAGGTCCCTTCTCGGGATCTCGCTTGGTTGGGAGAGTGCTTCTGGGAGTTGTAAGTCTGTAGGGCGTCGAGGGTTTCTGAGGCTTGGGCAGTAAGCACAATCCGGCGATTGGTGCAAGAAAGGCAAGGGGTGTTGATGTCTAAAAGTAAGCTCCAAAGGCATTGTCCGAAATCAGAGGCCGAGGGACCGACACGATGAACAGTCGAAAGTGTGCAGCATAGCCCCTGCTTTCCAGTGACGACTGACCGGCAGGAGATGATGTCATGGCCAGTGGCGATCACGTAGTGCATCTTACTGCCAGGGCTAGCAAACCAATCTTGCACGATGCTACTGCGGGCCTAAGGATGTGCGGGTGAAGCCTGCCGGTAGCTTCCAATTTCGATGGCCCTGCACTGCAGGCGAACATATTTTTTTCAACCGGAACGCAGCAGTGAGACATGTCGTTTTTCATTCTCCTCGTCATGGCCGTCGTGATTATGGCAACCATCGCACTTCGATTTGTCATTTCTGAAAACAGTCTGCATCGAGACGTCTACGACTCGCCCATCCGATGAGAAGATCAAGTGACCTCTGAACCGTTCTGAGGCTTTCTGCTCTTGTGCCGGTTGAGAGCACCTGAGACACCTGGAGGTCTCACAACGTGGCGTTGAAGGAGCGTGAGGCGATCTCAACTTTGGACAATGTGGTCCCAGCGCCATGACTTCATGAAGACCCCAGCCTACAGGGACGAATTTTCCAAGGGCCCTTCTAAGCAAGCTCCTCTAGCCTGGGTTCCCCTTGAGTCGGATTGAGGCATCTCGAGTCTGTGATTCATGGGGGTTTGGGATATCAACTTGCCGGCCACTTCCTTTGGGATGAGAGTGTCATTCAAGGGGATCTAGCTGCCTGCTCATCGAGGAATGGCTGCTCAAGAATGGCCAGGGTGTTCCAAGCTGCCGCCTGTTGTGCACAGAGCCCCCGTTGCAGTCCAAGCCGCACCAAATCGTTTGGGAGTTGACGCGCGGCTGGTACTATACGAGGATCGCCATGGTGGCCATCGCTGATACTTTGAACAGTAGCAGGCTGGCTATGTAACACTAGTCACTAGCGGCTACACTAACGATGACATGAATGACTGCAGTGAAACTATTTGTCGCTCTTTCTCTTGTTCACGGTGATTGCATCGTACGAGATGATAATGTGTTTGTATATATTCTACATACATATATATATATA